AAAAAAATTCGTTCACTAATACTTGCTTTACTTATTGGACTTTGATCTACAGATAATATCTGAAGTTCTTGAAAAACAGCCAAAACATTCGCATAGAAGAATAGCCTGGTGAAGGGAAGCTCATAATTAAATGTTTAGTCTTCAGTGTAATTAGGGAGTTCCTCTCTATGAACGTATATATCTCTATCCATGTATCTTTGGCGTTTAGCTAATTGAAGAGTTTTAATCTAAAATTTGTAGGATCTCCCAATGGGCCCATTAAAAGCATATTAAATTCAAATTATGCGAAGAGAGGACCATCCTCTACATGGGACAGGACAGGAGAGACAGACCAGGAGAGGCCATCGCGAGAGTTGTTGTCGGATGTAACGAATAAAGTAATTAGCCATGCAATATGAGGGTCGATATGGAAATGTTGTGCGCCTTGATTGACAACTGATCTTTTATTTAGCATTTTTTGTCGATTTCATTCTGGCGTAGAGCCTGCTGATCGGATGATCCTTTTGTTTACGTGCAAACACTCATAAATGATGTTCAGGGACAAGGCCAAAATGGTAAAAAAACGTTTCCCACGTACAAAGAAATGCTGCACCCGACGAGGGAAAGAAGGCGAAAGAAATGTTGTTGCAACCATAGCTAACAAGCCCGTAATTACTCGACAAGGATTGTTGCCGTGTAACACCTTAATGGACTTACCTGAACAGCACTGATTGACGGACTGACTGACTGCCAGTGACTATGACGGTGATGGTGATGGTGATGGTGATGGTGATGCTGACTGTGACTGTGACCGTGACTGTGCTTACCCCTAGTATAATTTGCATAAAAAAATGAAGATGAAAAATGAGAAATGAGAAATCGAAAGGCAACAAATGATTCCGATTCATAAATCTAAAGGGTTAAAGGCTTATAAGCCGAATACTATTTTGACTCGAGACATGAAAATATTTGTAAGAATATGCATATATGTCACATGTATGCATATGTAGATAAACGTATGCGCATATAGCAAAGGAAATTATCATAGGCAGTCAGAGAAGCTGGAGCAAATATTTTGACGACAGCTCAATTATGGCTTATGTAAGGCGTTAAGATATGAGCCAAGTCCTGTTATGGGCCAGGGCAGCATAAAAAAGAAAACATGTGAAAAAGGATTGTTGTGAGAAAGGGGCTTACAAGCAGCGCAGACAATGCCAAATCTTAGCTAAGTCGCCTAAGACGCTGCATGCAACACGCCTTGGCTGCAGGACAGCTGTTTGTCCCTTACCCCCGATGAGCCTAGGAAGGCCTTATCGCCTTATCGCAACCACCTTATCACGACTAAGTGTCGCAATTAACTTGAGGTGTAGCTGAGCAGCTCGGCTCGGACCCGAACACTTGAACACTTGAAGACTTGAAGACTTAAAGACGCGACGCAGCCAAGCGCATAGTCAGAGGGCAGGCAGAGTCTAAGTAGTTGCACTTCCGACAATTAGACGTGCGGCACAGGACACGACAGACACATCCTCAATTCGGCTTGTGGGCGTCTATGAGTGTCTTTGCATGTCTGCGTGTGTGTGTGTATGTGCCTATGTGTGTGTGTAATGATTGCGGTTAAGTTTGCTAGCCACAACTTTCTCAGGGTCATAGCTGGCTGATCACCCTGGCCGGCTCTTCTTCAGCCCTCCTTGTGCTCCTTAGACGCTGTCCCCTAATTGGTTTGTGTGTCCAGTGGCCAAGGGATTTGTCTGTGTGTGTATGTGTGTGAGTGTGTGCGTTTGTTTGTGTATTACTACTAGCATGCTAAGCCCTGTCTAAGATCAAGCAGCAGCTCCCTCTCTCCCTGCCCAACCCGGCTCAGCTCAGCTGGGTCCTGGCTCTAGGTAAAAGGATAATGCAATGCCTAATCTCGAGCAGCTCAGAAGGCTGTCGGTCAGTTTTTGGCGCAGCAGCAGCTGCCAAGAGTTAGCACCGGCAGCAGCAGCAACAGCAGCAGCACCGCCACCACCACCACCACAGTCAGCGCTGCGCCCTTGTGCTCTAATTTAGTGACATGGACATGGTCCAAAAATCTGCAAGAAAATTGGCATGATCTTGCATTAGAAGTGGACGCTCCGATGGCTCCTTTGTTATGCCGAGCACACATACACACAAACGAAGCGAAGCCGTGCCGGACCGACCAGCGGCCAGCGGCCGGCGGCCATCGGCCATCGGCCACTTTCACGCTTCTCAGTTGGGACACAGCGTGGAACGTGGAACAAGATTGAGAGCAGGCCAATAAATCTCTGCTACGGGCATCAGGCACGCATCAGCAGCAAATGACAGCACCCATTGTTCGAGTGAAGAGCCTGGAATGTCCGCTCTGTCGACCTCGCCTCGAGCAGACTGCGGACGCTGGACGACGGGGAGCATCATAAAATCGAAGGCGCCTCGGCAGTTGATTGTGGCATATGCAAAGTAGGCGCCGTCTTATAAAGGGAACTAACGATGCGGCTTGTGTTGGCACAGCAGGTCCACCAAAGCTTGGGTGGCAAGCAGATCTCTCTAGAGAGTTTGCGCAGATGGAAGATAAACATAGATGGGCATATCAAATTGAGCTATACAAATTTAAAATTAATTGCAAATTTGTCAATGTCTACTCTCTATTAATACTGCGCCTTCTCGCTCTTTCTTTCTCTGCAATGTGCAGCTTAAGTTGATTTTGATGCATGAAAATATAAGACTTTACTCTTATACTTAAATTAATTCATTGGCTTTCAAACACTTTTGCATACTTTTTAACGAGAGCGCTTGCAAAAGAGAGGCAAAGAGAGCCTTTTATAAGACGCCCTCAAAGCTTTTGCTTATGAGCTTAATCGAAGCCAAGCTCAGAGCGAGACAAAGATATATATATATATATA